GCGAGCGGACCTGCGAGCGTGCGTTGGCGTTCTCTCACATGCGTTGTCACACTTGCGTTTGCGTTTGCGTTTGCGAGCGTGACAAAGAACTGTCTCGCGATTTCTTGTCTGAAAATAGTGCCAGGAGTTAGGCCCTGAAACACAGTCGAATCAGCCCTCATTTCCGTAACCAGCATACTCACATTCCGTCGATAGGTAGTCCTTCCTCGTAGCCCTTGCGCCATTGTCGATAAAGTTGCAGAAATCATGTTCTGGCCAAGATGCAGTTCCCATGAGACTTACAACTCCGAGGAATCCTGCAGGTGGATCCCACGCGAGCGCAAGACGTCTTGTACTGCAGGGTCAGTCCACAAAGGTGAGGGATATCATTTGAGGAAGCTTCCAGATCCTGCATTGGGGATTTTGGGACTTGTACATCGAGGGCTGCGGAGGGTGTCCGCTAAGCGCGGATTTCCACCCGCTTGGCTCTTATGGGGACATCTCGTTCATTGGGGTACGGGAAGAGGATCTCATTGAAAGCAGTCTCGTATGCGAAAAGTAGCGAGAAGTGGGCGATGTTCTCTTCCTATGGTCGTCGAGTGTCGGCATGGATCCACACTACATCGAGGATGATCGTTGTCGAGCTGCAGATGATGAGTTTGAGTATCGAAGAAATAGACAGTATACATACTTGGTGAAGTTCAACTGGCCTATTCTCTTCCATACTTCGTGCACATTTGGAAATTGTGTCGGAATAAAAGCAAGTTGAAAGGCTAACAATTAGATAATGGAACTTGTGAAAAAGCACCAGGAGATATAAACGTATTCCTCAACCAGCGAACCGGTGAGCCAGGACGGAGCACGAGGGGTAGACAGCAGGTCCTTGTCTTTCTCAGAGCAGGAATATTCACGGTCAATTTTGCTGCCGAAATTCCTGAAGAGTTTGAAGTGAGTAGTAAATACAAGTAAAGAACATTGCCCTTGGGTTTGATGCGGTCGTAGATACCGCAGATTACACGTAGCCTGTCAGGGGAGTCGAGCCTCTGTAAAACAGTATGAAAGGCTTGGAGGCATTGTCCTTGCTAACGGCCAGTCGAAAAACCAGACCTCCAGCCGAAAGAAGATGACAGAACCATGAAATTGACTGTAATAGAGAAAGATAGTACGAACACAGTGGTGGAGACGAAGACGTCGTTTCGAACCATTGAAATGTTCGTGTGACGCCACAAGTACAAGTTGGATATGAACAGTTTTCAGACCCGTTTCGCCTGCCGTAGGGCTCAGGAAATCAACGGCGAGTCGGACGCTCCCGGATATTACGTGTTAAGCCAGTCCAGGCAAAGGAGCGAGGCTATATATCCATCATAGATGGGGAATTGCGGCAGGAAGAGACGAGTCCGAGCAGTGAAGAAGAGTGTTGGTGCAGTCCGGTGCCGATGTCATTCGACGAACCCGGAGAATCTATTAGGAACACCTATTAGGCGCCTCTTCTGCAAAGACCACGCTACAGCATAATTAAATAAGTAGTGAGAGGAACTGTAATTATTGCGTAATTAGCTGTAGACGGTAAGAGCAGGACTTTCAATATTCAATCTCCGCCTTTACACTTCTCTCCATGACTCTCGCTCAGGCAGGAACCGTCTTGGATGCTGAGTGAGCGCTGAGGACTCGACTCATGGCACGTATTTCTGCAACAGATGCCGGAAAAGCTCAACTAATGTGCGCTGTAGGACGCTTTCCCGAAATCGTCGCCATATCTTCACATGGACGCGTTGGTCAAGAAGCTGAGAGTAGGCACGGCCCTTGGTGAGCGGACAATAATTGCCCTTTTGTTCTTCGTTTCTTACTGTTTTCTTACCAGACTAGAGAGGAAAAATTGGAGTATCCAGGGCCTCGCAGCAGCAAGGCCGGGAATGTTCGCGCCAAACCTCACTGATCATATGGTTGGCGGCCCCCTAGTCTCCCTTTCAAGTCTCTCAGAATCCTCAATGCCCTTGGTCGCCTGCAAAAGGGGTAGACTTTTCTCCGACAATCGGCGAAGTCGTCGTCCATGATGAGACCAGGGGTTGATGTGCGTTTGACCCTTTGAGACCACCACCATTGGAGGAAACTTGGCGGCCTGTCTTCAGGCGAGTTATTTTTTCGTCTTTTGTGTAAAGGTGACCCATTCTGATGATGTTTCGTTCAGTTCAAAGGTCCAGAATGCAAACGTTTCAATAACGGCTCTAAGCGCATCTCGGTGGGCTAGGAGATTGCGGTGGCGCTGTAGTTATAATTCGGGGAGGAAAAAGAAGAGTTGTATGCCATTCAGAAGTATTCCCTCAGGTACGTCTCTTATCCGGTATGTGTGGCCTAGTCATGTTCATTCATATGTTAGCCACTGCATGTGCACACCAAGAGAAACGAATTCAATCTTTTTCATCATGGAATAACCCTCAATTCGACCCGGCTAGAACATTCTCACTCGCTAGGACCCTCTTCCGTCCTTCGTCTTCCCGAGATCATCACGTCATCTCCCATTCGAAATCATACCTTATGTATGCAATAGGATCGCTACACCATTACCGGAACCTGTATGTATGCGCTAGCAACGAGTTGAAGGAACCACGACATATTTATTCCTCGCGACAGGATACAGCACAATCATCTACGAGATTATGGAACATGACGATATTGCCCCTTTGTGCGATGGCCGAGAGCGACTGGGCACGAACCAAGCGCTGACGTTAGGAGCCCTAATTTACTAACGATTATGTGAGTACTATCATGTTATAATAACTCTTTACTGACTAATATCGTCTAGTCAATGGGGTTCCGTGAGCAGGAGGCGGTCGGGGAAAAGCTTTTCTGATTTAAGCGCGTCAAAGATCGGGGCGCCTACTACGAGTAGAACGACGGCCATTAGCTTACAACATTTGCCGTTTTACCTTGTCCAAATAACCCATGTCCTTGCATTCGCCTGCATCTGAACGGTTCAATCTATGCGTGCGGACAAAGATGGTCCTACAATACTGCCCTGCCCATGGTCTGGCTGATTGGACCACGACACGTGAACACCAACGCCGTCCCTCACAAAAAGGTCCCGTTATCCCAGCCACTGAGCCCGTTGACATCATTACACATCTGGCGCCCCGTCCGCGGCATCTTTCGTCGGACTAGACCATAGAGCACCCTCTTCGCTCCCTTTATGAAGTACAGAATACTGTATTTGAGAATTTGATTTCGGGGCCCATCCTACTAAGCTATTTACGAGACGACGACGGATGTCAACGTGGTGTCTGGACAGGCTTAGCTCCGGCCATTTCAAAATCTCATTCGGATTCCTAAAGTGCCAGGCTCGGCTTCACTGACTCCAAGACGGTCGACTACATGCGCCTTTCCAGCAAGGTCCAGCTTGCAGAAGCTTTTAATTCTCACCGACTTGTTCAGTCTTGCCCGGGGGCTTTCTCGGTGATGATGCAGAGGATAGGCTACCGTACATACCTTTCCCGCACTCTGCAGTCAAATTAGCACATCCCCGGCCTCCCTTTTGCGTCCGAACTTATGCCTATTTCGAACCAAGGGAAGCTCGCCGTGAGCCTGGATCTTTTGATTGTAGATGCACGGTTAGTGCTTGGTGAACTCCCGGACGGTGGAAGGGAAAGTGACAGAAACTGAAACTGATGTCGGCGTTCTCGAAGGACTGTTATGATGTTTCTACACGTCATCTTGTATATGACGCACGCTAAAGACAGTTCAGTCTTGCTTCATACGAATGCCGTGCTACGTCTACGACTGCCCCTGCGACACGTTCAATTCACGACACCTCTATATAATTCATTCTCTGCTGCTTGTGTAAACCCGATCCAGGGTTCCTCTTCCTTTCTAGTTCGCTATTCGATCTTCTCGGTGGTTCCGTCTGGAAACGACGCATATTCGACACTTCAGTAGTATCTGGCCAACACCACGGAATTCAGTGGCATGCCTTGACGTGACATAGGAGTGCGGTCGACTTGCGATTCGAAAAATAAACCCCATTGATTGCGAAAAAAGTGTAACAACAAACCACTATGCGGATAACGACAGCGCCGATTATCCGGTACTTGCTGCTTGTCTGCCATCGTGCATTTCAACGGCAGGGAACTTAGTTTAGGTGCCTTCCCGCCTCAAAAATACCTCAAACTTTGCGCGGACGGATGCGAGAGCATGGACTATTCGTCTGAGGATGTTGAAGATGGTCGGGCCGGAAGAGTTGGAGAGTGCGCTACAGGTCAGTGTAACGCGTTGGTTGATTGGCCATTTACTGACCAGTACACTTTCCTGCAGGTTTGGAAACGGTTCCTTTGCATGTTAACCCGCAGATCACAAGGGCAAAATCCGTAAGTATAATTATGTTCTGATATATCTGTACTGACTAACATCGTCTACTGGTAACGGCACAAAGGCCATCGAACCTTCTCGCGTCAAGTCCCTTTTCCCCAATGCAGCAGACGGCCTGGGGAGATATCTCCATCAAACCCATTGACGACTAGATTGCCTGCTACGAGTAGAAAAATCCTCGCAATCTCATAATTCGCTGGCTTCCCTTGTCCGAATATCAAACTCGGGTCCGTGGTGCGTGATGCAGGCAGACGTTCATGGCATGCGTAACGTATCGAAGTCCCGTGGTATCTCAAAGTCTATTCTTCCTGGCTTTTGTTTCGGCCGCCTCGCTTTAGTGCCCTTTAGAGTGGTGACAGAACTGGTGTCATCCCCGACGGGGCTATCAGAGCCCCCATTTCGTTTGGACACCTGATTGTACAGATTACTCGTATGGACATACTTACACCGTTCAAAGACAGCCGGAGAGCGGCTTTCTTCATGCACGGGAGATTCGACGAAACTCATCATTCCAACTGGCGATACTGGTGGTGAGCCTGATGGGAATGGTGCCGATGGGAATGGTGAAGCCGTCATGTTGTCCCTTCACGCTTGAAACTGATATTGTCCTCATTTTAAGGGACCCTATTCGACGTCTAGTCCTCTCTTCTGCCTTCGGGAAGACCTAGGACGCCCGCCGCCTTTTGTGAGTAAAACGATCTAGTCTTCTCTCATAAGCAACCGTTAACAGAATTTAGGTAAACATATATACGACATGATGTGGCCCGCGTGGAACATGTCGGCCAACTGCCATGCCGGAGTGTTCGATTCGTGCAATAACGATACTGGAAAGCATGTGTTTCCCTCCATTCTATTTCTCGCTTCGTTTAATGTCATGTCAAGCCTGTGGGGGTGTACGGTACCTCGACGTTTCACCAAGACGGATACCCTTACCCCAACTCTGCAGCCCATCCCGTCGTCTTCGCAATTCACCACTGTTTCTACCATTCGAGGTGGGACTGTAGTAATATCATCAGCACCTACGACTCTGACTTCGATTACCGTACGTTTATTTTCACTACTATCGACATTCCATACTGATCCGCGTAGTCTGGGACTCTTACTATAGGAAAGGTTATGTCAATTGCTAGAAAAGCTGCGAGTGAGAGTGGCAACAAGAATAGGGGTGTGGTCACGCTTGGATTTTCTTCACTAGATGTGGTTGGCAGTATTGTGGGAGTACTCTTTGTTTCGTAGAAGTGATAACCGTTATATTATTAGCCATTCGTTGAAATTTTTTAGACTTGAGAAATCATTCAATTCGGGTGCGTCCAGAGGGTGTTTCGCTTTGAGTGTAATTTCTTAAACACGACAAGCGCGTTCTCCCTCTTTGCTTGATGGAATGCCTTATTTCCTGTTCTATGATGTTCTTGATATAAAGACGTCCCAGCGACAGTCGCTAACTGGTTCGTCCGGACTGGATCTGCACTCGAGGCGTCCTATATCGCGCTAGTACAAGTTGAGAACTGCAGTTTGGCGCTAATGACCACGTCGAAATACTGATATGATATAGAAAATGCTGTACTCGCCGTTCCGTCTTGCACCGATGTCCTACAAATGCTCAATCCCATCAGCACCCTGCGTAGGCCCAAATATTTGAGAACTGAAGCTTTACTCATGGTTTATGATAGCAGCATCGGAGTCCAGGTAAGTAATCCGCGCCTTCCTTCTCATGGCACTCTTTACTGAGACAGTTCCTTTCCCAGTAGATAGTCGATCTAAATCCAATTTATTTTCGCTCAGGATGACTAGTTCTTTGGATAGAGTTTCGGACGACGTCAGTGGCATTTGGTTTGATGCTATAGAAAAAAGAGCCGGGAAATACATCATCTGTACGAATTCTTTCCGCGGGGGTTATAATCGATCGGTTTTCTCTCTACATCCAAACTCTTCTTGGCTGATGTCGGTGTCTTTCCTCAGACACTCGGAACCGAGAAACTGGGGGCTTAAAGATGATTATATTACGCAAACCTTGCTCCTTAAAGGTAAGATCCTTACTCAATGGACGATCTGATAAAATTCAGGGACATGTCAAGGGAGGTGCAATGATGAATCATGATACTCATCTTGAAGTGATAGTCAAATGACATCCTCCAGTTCAGACCCCAAAACGCGTAGGGAACTGAACAGCGTGACACTGGTACACATCAAATTGCCTCCCGGAGCCGTGCGATTTCTTATAGCTTCGAAAATATGACACCACCCAGGTATGGTGTTGGGGGATAGCGAAAGAAGATCAACTTATGCCGTATTGACCTGGGACGTTCATCACGTCAAATCCCACGCCTTGTTACTAGTTACGGAACTTGACCAAGCCGGTCAATGCAGGGAGCGTACGTCACCGCCATAAGTAAGTGAGAAAATCGATCAGTTGATTCGAAGAAGTTTATTGTACCCCGAAAGATCTACTGGCAAGTGATGGTTAATTTTCAATATGATACGGAATATATTGAAATCGCCGGGATACTTAGCCCCATGATACGACTCGCCCTTTTCTACAGCCGTTTTCTCTATTTTCAGGAGACTCCAAGTTACAAATAGTCATATTGTGATGAATTAAAATGGAACTGATAGAGAACTATTCGGAAGTCCTAATTGGTTGACTAAAAGCGGAGTGCGTGTTCCATAAAAAGCGGGGACAACCACACGATCAGTGTCCTGCACGTTCTGCAGGCTCCATTTTAACCGAGAGGCGGTTCTCAGCAAGTTCAGAAGAAAGAGCAGCTGTCTGGAAAGAAAGACGAACAGGGCATTTCCATCCATGAGAAAATAAATCCGGTTGCTACATCGGATCGATTAGGAAAGATGACCTCGAGGCTCGAATGCATCTGAGGTACGTTACAATTATTCCGTCAGGCGAACTTCTCTGAGGAAATCCGGGGTCAGTGATAACTAGCCTAAGGTGAGACAAAGAAAAGAAACCTCGGCGCGAGCCACCCAAGATGGTTTTTGCGATTACCGCGCGCGAAGCTCGGTAAGTTAAAAGATACGATGCGATCTGTGCCTGATCAATAAGCATGAGAATTTAGACATGCCTTCGGCCCGCAGCCGGTATAGGCAGTCAGTATCTCGTCTTGAAAATCATGGAAACGTATCCTTGCCTTAGCCTTTAGGTTTACACGATAATGTGTTACGAAGGTAAACGCACTGAAGGCCTTGACGCACATTGGTTTCAGGGGGTCCATCACTCGTGGCCCGTCACGAACTTCGTCTGGAAGCAAAATCACTTCAGTTCCAATTCCAGACTGTATGCGGGTACGCATGGATTCCTTCCTTGCTGATTACATCCTCGTGCAGGACATGCAACCACGGTGGAAAAAAAAGAAAAGTCATGCATCAGCAAAAAGACTGCTGACCTTGACAACAGGAAGAATGCCTGCGGAAAGGAAAGAAATCTCACAAGTCCCTGTAAGGAACATTATATCATCCATACGCATAGAGAAACGTTAGTTTGTGCCATTGATCGAATATTTCATGATATAGTAGTCTTTCTTTAGGCCTGAGGCCGCTTCTGAAGCTTTGACTGAATCACGGTTCCGAATAACGCTTCAATTGGTAAAATATCGTCTTGAATCCTATGTTCAGCTAAAAGTTTCCCAGTCATCTAAGGATTTCACTCAATTACCATTGCCCTCTGACCTTAATCAAAGTTGAAATTTTGACCGAGCGTTCAATGTTCATATCCATCGGCATCGAGGTTGGAAAGCAGGGGTAGGTTCCAAGCGGCGCATTTCTTACTGGATCTCCTTGTAACATGGATGCTCGTCAGTATGCCACGGATGTCACTGTTATATTTTCATATCCTCCACTCACAAAATGACCTAACGCATTTTACGCCAAATCTCGTCATATCGATCCTGTTTCACCTAGAATAGATAAGTTTTGGTCGGGACCTTGCTGTTACAAGACTTGGAAGAAATCGTTATATTTGGGAAAACCGCCGAAGACACCGCATGGGCGCCATTTGTCTGCCATCTGAACGCATAAAGATATCATCCACGAACCAAATTGATGGTGTGATAGCCAAAGTGAGCAAAACCTCGCACGAGCGGTAGCGGCGGCTTTCGAGAGAGTTACAACGTAGAGAAAACTAGCACATTATCCTGTGGGTCCAGAGAAGTTTATTGATATCTATTCTTTTGGATGGATGAAACAACTCGGAAGACTTAGAAGTTTATGTATTTGGAGAGGACTACTCTTTCACTCATCTGAAGAGAATCGTCACCTGCCGAGGGCCGCATTGGAGTGACATGCTTCTGACAAAGTCCAATAAAAAATTCCATCCGAACGCAAGAAGGTGACCCCGATCAAAAATAATCCACTCACCATCAACTCATGAAACATGTGTAACGTCTGGAATAATACAGGAAGGTGCCGCTGATGGTGATTGTGAATTGTGCGTTTAATGGAGCTATAGAACAACAAGTTTAGCCAAGGACGGAGAAAACGAAACCTAAATGGAAAACTCTCTTTTCTAGTTAGTGAATGAGTAGTTAGTAAACACTATTATTCCAAACCATCTTCCTCGCACAGACTCATCAGTGTACTGTCGTGTGACCTGATTGTCGAGGGACAAAAATGGACGTTGGTCAAGCCGTACACGTCGACGGCAATATTACATGTGTAGTCGGCATATGACTTCTTCTCAGCTCCTACAATCTGTGTCTAGCTAATTAGATTTCCGCACAATAGACGCAGACCGAGTTTTTGAAATTCGTTATTAAGGACAACTCGAACGACGTTACAATGGGTGAGATAAACATCATCAAATACCAAGTAAACGTTGTCCTGTCCTGAATGACCCAAAAGAGAACACCTAACCTTCAGGAAAAGATGCGAGCAGTGAATGATTGGTCATCAGATCTCGAGATCTAATCTTTGATGCAGACAAAATTCCCCGCAGTGGGGCTTGACTCGGGCCGGAGATATTTTATCCCAAAGTACCCTATAGTACCACTATGATACGAGCTGAACGAGGACCTTACATGTACGGTCCGCGTTCGAAGAACCCGAGAATGAACCTCAGGAAATCCTTATATCTGCCTTCTCAACTAAGGAATAACTAAAGAATCATGACAGACTATTTGGAGATCGTACTTATTTTATACATGTCCCGGATATACTATACGGATCATCTCGGAGGTAATCTGTTGGTATTTTCTTGGCATATGATACCATGATCTGAGCGATATCATCTGAATTTCACGGTTTGCTTGCTCCCCAATTTCACATTTGAGCCTCGATTAGTCTCCAATATAATACACGCCTTACTATTGATATGTATCAACATACACTATACTTGTATTTATATTCTCTCGCCGAAGACTTTAGTTACTGGACGAATGACCTGGATTATTGACCTTCATAGTCCGTATCATTTTATAATTTTCATTATATAAACAGGTAAAGAATGTCGAGCTCGCAGAATTCCTGAGACCGTGCTTACTCAGTTTTCCAACCAGTCTGATGCGTTGCCTCAACCAAACTCCCCATTCAGAGTGTTATCGCTGCTTGTAGTATGTCCCGTAAACCGAGGACCCCGGCATCCGATCCTTTAGTAGAATCTAATCGGAATCTGTATAGCTGAATGTATGTGGGAACAAGGTTTGCAAGTCCGTGATGCAAAATGTGTTCAGTGCCCGGGTTTCCTTGTCTACCTGGGTCGGTGTCGGCATGAGCGACTACGACATGCCGCCACCTCGGATTTTTCCAGTATTCAATACACTTCCAGTTCTCGTCTCCTCGGCTGACGCTGTGCCGATTTAATCAGTCAGTCTTACGCATTCTTGATTGAGCAGAGTGTGGTTATCCATCTACATGGTTTGACGAAGCATGTGTAGACTCCTGCAACGGTATGGTCTAGCGCCGCTCCTCGCTGATCTTGCACTGCCAATAGAAGCATTTGATATTTCCTGTCCCAGCTCATGCAGCTCCGTTGAATAGCGTTCTTACGCACCTACTGCGGACGCATCCATTTTCTACTTCTCGTGTTTCATTACTCCGAATGGGATTTCGAGATTCTCCTACGGGGAGGTCATCATCTGCCCTCTGTGCTAGAAGCACTATGACCGTGGGTTCTGGTCACTTCGATAATTTCCCTCCAGTTTCTGCTGAATCTCTATGCGTGTTTGAAAATTTAGTAGAAGGAGCTTACTCCTGGGACTTGGATAGATTGAAGCTCATTGAGTACAACGTCTGGAAAAACGATAATAAGGTACTTCCAGTAAATAATTGTCACTCATTCAAAAATGAATGCAATTTCCGGAAATGAGGGCTGCAGCGGACTGAGTATATTTCTCCAACATTGTTTAACTAGATACCTATGACCGTCGGCGGTGAGACCTACCCGCACTCAGACCGCACTGGGCTGAATATTAAATTTATATTGCTCCAAAGCGGAAAGTCATGGGATAAGCTCTTCCACAAAAGATATGAATGTCATCCTGAAAACCAGCGGTGTGCCGGAGCAATATAGATCAAAGGAATAGTACATGAAACGAACCCAAGCACAGGGGAAACGGGAGAGAATTATAGGCAAGAATATGTAAATTGCTTGAAGTACGTCAGCCTCAGGCATAGCTACGTATCATTGTTAGCAATGCGGGCCTTCGGCAGCGTCAGGGGGATGAAACGGAATTGAATCCAGCCCACGACCCACATATCGATAGCAGTACTGTAAATCTCGTCAGATCTAAGAATCGTTATACGGGAATATGTAACTTACGTTCAGCGAGGCTATGCCTCTCCACGGCTGACTGAGTGAAGCGTAGAAGGTACGCAGAACCACTCATAGGCCGCTAGCGACTATGCAATACAATAGAAAAAGATTTGAAAACGTCAAGTACTACGTGATAACAATGACGACATAAAAGCGGAAATATTACATAGAATCTGTTGGATAAGAAAGAAATGCGTCTCTATAATATGACTCAAGGGAGTAATCGGAGGCAGAACCCCATCGGTACCGAGCTTTCCTGTATTTCACACAACGTATTCGTCGTCCAGGAGTCAATCGGCTTGGAAGCACGCAATTAAGGATCCGTAACAAGCCGTCCGCCTACGACCAGTCATGAACATCCGATTCTATCAAGCGGATGGAAAAAAGGCTTCTTTGTTCTAGTAATACTGTTTTCATACTCGATATTTCTCCCAATACAAAGGGATGGCATACTGCACTATGAGAATTGAGAGAGTGGAAAGGACCCAATGCTCCATAACCTTGGACGAAAATAAACGAGGCGAAGAATTTTGATCGGGCTATTCCGAGATACCCGGTCCGGGGCCCTGGTTGATCTGAGACGACGATTCGGAAGAAGCAGAGGGCGTCCAAAAAGCCAATGACTGAGGTTTGCACTACCGTTTTCCACCTACCAACTTACTAACGTGACATGTCCCCAAAACCACAGCCGAATCCCCCGAGGTTATTTACGACCGACCGTGTCTTCGCTACCTCACTCTATACCCAATCATGAGCGACCGGCTACGCGGATGCCTGGATTTTGACATCTAAATGGCTTGAATTATTTGTGTCGAGATCTCGCGGTCCTATTGTTAAAATAAGCAAACATCTCCTTGGTGCTAAAGATGTGGCGTCACGGCAACTTGACACGCTGTATGCGTGCGTACCTTCATTAATTGATTACTCGTGATTTTAGCTGTTTCCCATATATCGCTATAGGATGACGTTCGCAGGGTCGCCAGTCGCGGCTTGTTCAATTATTATATGTGCGATCGCAATCCAGATGAAGCAAAGCACTTTCACGCGTCTTGCTCATGGTTGTGAGTGTCGGCATCTTGACAATTGAATTTTTTACCTGAAGCCGTAAGCCGTAGCTGCCCGTATCTATCATTTGACTCTCATCGTCCATGTGTAGTCAGAACACGGGGAGCATCGGTAAATTTCTCAGCTGTGCCTTTTCTCGAAAGTGATGATGATACAATTCCATAGAAAGGTCATATCATCCGCCTGAGTCGGCCTTGATACTACTAGGGCATACCAATCGCTTTTTCACTTGCACAACCGGATCTCTTTGTAGTATCGATATACCGACACGAGTAATCTCTTCCTCTCTGAGCGATATTCACAAGTCTGACTAGCAACTTTCATCCAACAAAATAACATTCCAACCTACGCCTCTCCCACCCAGAGAACCATGCAAACGGTCTTAATCTACCACTACCTTGGCTCTGCCCATTCCGATCTTGATCGGAAGGACTGCAGGCATACAGCACTTTACGCCGCTCCTCATTGCTACTCCCCACCCCCACCAACACCACCAATTGAACCCATCGCCAACTCATGATCCCCGAAGACATGATCAATATTCTTCTGTTCGCTCTCTCATCCCTTCGCTAAAGGGGAATGTACTTAATACGCTAAGGCATCCAGCTACGAATCTAGGCTGTTGCGTGAACCCAAGCATCGGAGAACGATGTGGGGAGCCTGAGCGTGAACTTAGATCATGACTCCGCATTCCTCTCAACTCAACGTCTTGGATTCAGTTAGTACGCCTCGAGGTTCTGTCACACGTCCCTCTCCAAAGCTTCCCGTCCTCCGCTCTCCGCACTCCGCACTCCGGTGGCGACAAAGCCCTGTCAAGAAAAAACCAATGCCATGATGTGCGTCACCTCGGAGAATTCATCCTAAAAATCCTTTGAGTTACCGAAGCGGCCGGCAATCGGGTGGGGACTCGGGCGGTTTCATGGGATTCTTTCTTCTCCTGGCTTCTTCTTCATAGCTATGGCGTTATCGCGAAGCTGCCGCCTTTCTCTTCCTGGAAAGAAGGACGTTCCAAGCGAACCCCGTTTCATGTCATGGAAGTAATGCTTCGCAGCCAAAGTCGCCGTCATCGGTCAGTTGAAATCGTTAACGCAGGGAATAGAGCTCATTCTAAGCGTCAAGGATACGGTTGATGTTCCCGTATTGCGTTTACACGCTCTTCATTATCGTTGATCCTTCCTTGCAGGTTACAGCAACCATTCAATCCGTCTCTTCCAAATCTGCCAGTAACCAGACCACCCATCACTCCGTTGCTCGATTTCTAGAAAAATGGTATGGTAATCCTCTCGCACTCTTTCTGACTGACTTCTCACTCCTTGATAGGTACTCACGCTTCCTACGGTGTTTCTGCTCGAATCAGAAGGGCTCAACTTAGACAAGCAGATCCCCCAGCAAACTTTCTGGAAACCACTTGCACTCTCACCTCTCCCCCTGAACATTTACCCGAATCGAGATAGAAGTCACCCTCGCTCAATCCGAGGTTCCTATAGGCTCCGTCGAAGTTCTATTCAACGACGTCGCAGTCCATGATCATCGTCGTGAACTAATGATTCAAGAATCAAAGGTAAGCAAACGATACTTTTGGAGCATTCATCGAACCTACTCAAGAACCAACAATTGCACGGCCCAGGTAGCGACGGCGGGACCTCTAAGCTAAGCCATCTACGCTCAGGAAATCCAGCCGCGCACCGGTCGTGTAAGGATACAGTGCGACAGCAGGGTATGATGATAAGTACAGCCATAGCAATCCCTCTTAGCTCAGTTGGTAGAGCGCGTCACTAGTATTCAATTCGGGTCATGAAAGTTGATGACAAGGTCAGTCGTTCAAGTCGGCTAGAGGGAATCAGCCTCACGACAAGGATATCTTTTACTGAGTGAATCCAAGAATTATAATTGAAATCAATATTTATCTAATCTTTCGCTGGGCTGGACTGACGAACCCCCCCAGAACTGAGAACACCGAAATTCACCGGTATAACGGCAGGGGCGATGAACGGACGGCGGACGCTGTATATTTACAATTAGCTCTTGAAATGCGGAAATGCGATCGATCGCATCGTTTTGCAGGGATCGGCCAATGTTTGTGGGGAGGAATGATATTTGATATCAGGGTACCCGGGAGTGATAAGGAGTCACTATTTAGAATGATAAGTAGCCCTCTTAGCTCAGTGGTAGAGCGTGTCACTCGTATAGAATATAACAGGAGCATCTTGTGATGACAAGGTCAGTCGTTCAAGTCGGCTAGGGGGCATTACTTTTGTCCCTGCCCACGAAGATTCAACAAACTCTATAAAAAAAACTACATTGAAATAACACACACATCAATACTTTTACTTTGAATGGAACGACTAAAAACACATCAAACGGAGGCGAATGAACAAAAAAAGGACGGTCCGACAAAACGTGTATAGCAAAAGCAAACCCAGATGCAGCCCATACCCTACCCTTCCTCTTTCTCAACAACTCCTCCTTCGTCGCCACCAGCACCGGTATCCCTTTCCCAACTAGTTGACGGCCTACTCCCACCAGGTCCCCCATTACTCGTGCTCAAAAAGTCCAGCCAAGCGCCGTCAACTCTGCCCTGAGTAGGACTATGCGTCTGCCCAGGACCAGCTTGGGCATTCGCCGGAGCGTGTATCGGCCAATCGAACCCTCCCGCGCCAGATCCTGCACCCGCTGTCCCACTGGACGACCCCGGCCTGCCATGATCGTCAAACAAGCCAAATATCTCGCTACTTCCGCGAGACATGGGTGCACTCAGTGGGTAGCCCGTATATCGCTGCCTCTCGCCTCCGAATTGGGCAGGAGTGGAGAAGCTGCTTCCACCGCTTCCTCCCCCTCCTCCTCCCCCTCCACCGCCTCCACCGCCGCCGCCGCCGCCTCCGCCACTGTAGAAGGGTGCGTGGTGGTACTGCGAGGGTGGTGGGTAGAAGCCTCCTTGGCCTGCGGCTCCACCCGCTCCTGCACCTCCTCCGCCACCACCAGACCCGGATCCAGAGGAGGAACGGCTGTGCATGCCGGGTCCAGAAACGCTCGGCGGCGATAGACGCTGTTTCTTGTGGGGATTCGTGTTTGGGTGGGGGTGGCGGAGAGAGGAGATGGGGATTGATGAGGACGAGGTTGATGGTTGCTGAATGGGGGTCTGGGGAATGGGCGGCGGAGGTATGGCCATCGAGCGGGGCGGGGGCGGCGGGATGTGGGAGTGGTGTGATTGATGGTGCTGCTGGTGCTGATATTCGAGCTGTCGGGAGAAAGAGTGGGTTAGTTCGTGGTGGTACGTGGAGAAAGGGAGACCAGAAGGGATTAGAGAAGCTGCGCGGTCAACGGAAGCCAGGATCGCGACGCCATGACGACGGCGGGCACGACGGACAACAACGCACAGATAGCCTTCGTCATCGTCGTGCACAACGACGACGAAGCGACCGCCGGAAAGAAGAGTGGATATGGTGGTGCTGACTCACCTCGCCAAGGTCAGCCCCAACGGGTCTGAGTCGACCACTGCCCCTACGTTTTGACGGCACAGAGGACACGACTTCCTCCTCTTCCTCTTCCTCCTCTTCATCGATGATCTTTGCGGCGCCAGAAAAGTCTCCTGGACCACGCGTATCCTTCTCGCCCTCGTACTAGAAAAGGAGGTCGTCAGTGACCCCTATAGCAACCCGGAAGAAAAAGACTTGTTCGTACGCGCAAATGCCGCTGCACGATATCCCTAGTGTCGCCAGAGCAGTATTCATACAGCTTCAGATGATGGCCCGGGCGTTCCTCTAAAAATAGACGACGAGCGTCAGCCGAGTCCTCTTGGCACCAACAACCTCGAACACGCACCAAAGATGATCACAGCAACGTCCACACTACACAGCACACCGAGCTCGTACGCTTTTTTGAACAGTCCATTCTTCCTCTACGATGCGAGCCAAAAATAAAGAAGGAAATGCCAAGAACTTTATTAGTCTCGTGTCGGGACAAAAATAGCAGCGACCATTGGGATAAAGAAAGATGGGAGCAAAGACGGGATTGGGATGGACAGTATGGGGGATGGGGAATGGTCTTGGGGACAGAGATTAGGCGTACCTTTAGAAAAGTCACCGAGCGGTTTCGTTCATGCTACACCCGCACCCAAAAAAAACCCATCAGCGCCTCATATCCACCAATAACCCATCCCAGCATCGAGTACTCACAGTAATCGGCTGTATCTCAATCTTTCTGCGTCCCATGGCGAGGTGTGTTAAAAGCAAGGTGGTGGTGGGTTACGAGGTGGGAAGTTTGTCGCCCTCTTTGCCCTTGGGTATGTATTGCGCTGCCGATATGCCGTATCAAAACATCCACAAATAATTCTCGGTGGCGGTCTTATATTGCTCCCGGCGATCGGGTTCGACGATTTCGGATCTCATTTGTCTTTTCGATCTCAGTCAATGACCGGAGGAGATCAATCCATCATCCCTGATCCCAGTCCGATACCCAGTAATTTTTTTTTTTGCGCCCCCTCCCTGATCCCAGACGTTTTGTTTGTTGATCTTCTTCCATCTTACTTACAATGTACCCCCCAACAACATGCTTAGCGTCTTTGGTAATTACACGCTCTCCCGGCCATTTGATCTGAATCTCCGCGTAATCCGGCGCTTTCCCTCCCCTCCATCCTCCCCGCAATAAACCCATTTTCGTCATATCTCCTCCCCCCAGCTTCACGCGCAGTATTTTTCCCACTCTCAACTAGGAATCAACAAAAAACACCATTGTTTGCTGATGGTTGCAATCTCGGGATGCCGTAACCCGTACATACATCGTCGGTGTTTACATAACCCTGACAAGCTGGGCGCGTCCCACTGAAACTTTCGTTCGCGTCCGACCATCTTCCCGCCCTCTTTCCTTCTTCTTCTCGCCTCTACCCTATCTCCACCTGTTTGATGGTAGACTTGCGACGTCATTCCACGACGTCACCCACTAATGAATGACTCGACGCGTGATTCCCTTGATTCCCTGATGCCCAAACTAGAACAAAAAAAATAAATTCCACATGGACAAATACCCTGCCTTCACCTCTGCCTTCGGGTACCCATCAAAACACAAACCTCCAGTTCGGACGCGTTGATTCTTCCCAGATAGGGAAGCCGTACTGATTCTCCATGCAAGACATGAATGCCGCGGGAGAAACCCTCTCTTTTCGGTCTGCTCTCTCATTGGCTCTTTATCCACCTCCACCTCTCATTGGCTGGTCAACCACACAACCTCATTGGTCCCCTCTGTTTGTTTTCCTTCCCATCTTCACCCGTGTTTCTTCCTCTACGTTATTCGCACCTCACTCTCTCATTTGTATTTCCCTAACCACCCCCCTTCTTCCTCCGAGTCGTTCCAGACCAAGGACTCATCATTTTATCCCTCACCACCAACCCAGCCTGTTCATTTCCCAGTCGCTATTCGTCTTTGTTTGGCCTCTTCCCTGCCTTTTTACTCGGTCTACCATACTATCCCCGGGAAGCATGGCTAAATCTTTCTTCCTCCTTTCCCCATCTCGTGCGGAGGCCTCGCCCCCACACTCATCCTCACCTGCGGCACCGTTACGCTAGCTCCCATCATCCAGACATCGGCTCCGTTACACCCGTTCGCCTCACCCACACACACTCTCCCTCCTTCGAAACCCAAAAACCCAAAAACGGGGTTACACCCTTACGTTCCATACCCCCCCCTTCCCTGCTTGTCTCTCTCGCCCTTTCCCGAGGTCCTTACGTTCAAGGGGGAACTACCCAGTACGCGTGGGGTAGACAAAACCTCCCGGAGTGACTCCTTACGTTGTACGACGCCCTCTCCTGGGAGGCGTTATCGTTTCCGATAGCACCGTCCGCCCCACCACCTTCTCTCGCAAAAACACATCTCCCACCTCGTATATCATTACGTTGGGTTTCAGAAAGAACCGCGCCCTTTCTCCCCTCTCCTCATAGCGGGGGTCTGGACTCTCCCCAACTCCTCGGCCCACGTTCATTTCCCACTTGACATCTGAACCGCTCTCGTAGGGGGAAAGTCAAGTCAAACTAGTAGCTGATTTTTTCCTACTCCGAAGCGCCACGTGAAATACAATGCACCCTTCGCCTCGTTGACTCTCGCTTCCACAGAACTCTCTAACATACGAGCTATCGACCTCGACCAGCGCCACTGCTTTCTCGTATACCAGCGCCACGAGCTAGGACCGATTATCCGCATGGGTGGACATCTCTTCGACGACAGTTTCTTGGCGGCAGGTGGAATCAAGGTCGAAGAGGGGGTTCAGCGTTGAGGCTGTCGGTGGCTGGGTGGTAGCGACTCTCCCATTTCTCATCATCGATATCTTAACGATAAGACTTTTCTTCTATGCTAGCCACGACAAAATATAAGTTCGTGGACTTAAATGGCCGTGAAACGATATTCCGTAGAATTGAAATGGAAAACGGCGTAGTTTTGTATTCATAAGTCACCTGTAGTAGATACTAATAACTATAGAATGAATGTGAATGTCGACTATAAGTAGAGATTCGAGAACCGGACATCAAAAAAACAGTACGCGCTGAAAACGATATCTCATTTCCTTCTAGCCGACTTGAACGACTGACCTCGTCATGACGATATCGTGGTTTCCATAATACTAGTGACGCGCTCTACCAACTGAGCTAAGAAGGATTGATGATGTTCTCTGACATATACATTACCTCGACCACCCATATTCATAGTTACAACCAACCGTAGCTCTCGACCCATCCAACGACCCTGACCATCCCCAAATTCAAAAAAAGTACCCGCCAACTCCCGATGCGACATTTATCCGTCCCTCATTCAATTCGTCAAACGCCACACGCCGATCCCTTGATAAAAATACCAAAAATCAAAAACCGGAAGAGATCGAGCATCTTTATTGGCTCCGAGGTAATAAATGATTTTCGTAAACGGGGAACATTCGTTGTAGAAATAACAAAGTAACGGGCGGCGCGCGGGCCCGACAGTGACTGACCGGCAATAGGGACTAGGCCTATCCATCGTCGGAATGAGTCTAGAAAGGCGCCTGGTCCGGCTAGGACGGTAACACTCTGTGCCGCCTCCCCGTAAATCTACTTTTGTTGGGCCTCGAGTACTTCTGGATGTACCAAGCGAGAGGCACCGATGAACCCCATTCGCACTTTCCGACTATCCCGAAGGAAAGTCCTCAATAACGGAATAGTACTAAACAAGAAGCCTGTCATTTCGTACAAATCATGTACCCAGAACTATAAAATTATGAATGCATGTCACATCCCTCGGGGGATTAGCAAAGACTCTTGATTGTCAAGCAAGAAGTTCGAAGTTCTCCTGAGAGCAAGCGGAAGAAGTAAGCACGCAAGTCTGATGAGACAACCGATAGTTCTCAGTTATCTGAAGCCCAGGATTGCACCGAGGAATCGACGAGGACCAGAGTATCACGGGAGTGATTTCCCCCTACCACACCAAGTACGAGTGCAATCAGTATGAGAGGATACAAGCAAATGGAGAAACACGGTGTCCCGTGGGGTAAGCGCAGCGATACAGGAACGACGAGGATTGGTAGGGCCACGCACGAGGATCCTCTCGGGGCGCTAGCCAGGAAGAACGGTTCGACCGACAAAAGGGGCAAGGGCAAGGACGGTAAATGAAAAAATTCCCATCGTACGGTGAAGGTATACAGCGATAAAGAACACGCTATTCACACTCGGAGGCTGTTGTCTTCTAACCAGAAAGATACTAGCTCAAAGGAATTAAGTAGGCTGTATTTGTATGAACGTGCCGGTACAACAGCCAGTAGATGGAACAGCAGGCATCGACGCCCCGAGGTGGTGAATGTTAAAGTTAAAGGGAGTGGTCCGGACATCCGATCGTCCAATCATAGCGAATACTTGGGTTGTTACAATCACAGTCATGAAACCAAGGAACGGATCGCGGCTTCAACGCGTATGGTATACATTCCTGACGACGTAAATTGCTTCGGAACGACCAAGGTAGTAAGTATGAAAACTACAGGCGTAATCACAGCAACAGGAGACGATGAATGTTATCAAGTTCTGCACAAAAAAGAACGCTTCAACTTCGCAAAGCGCACCTCAAGATAGACCAAATGAAAGACATAAGAAGCCATCGTGTCCCATCACTCTTCGCAGAATCCGCTGATAGCTCCCCAGTAGCAACGGTGATGGGAAATTGAAGAACGACGAAGACCGTATGATCGTCGTTGCGAGCTTAGGTAGTGCAAAGCGGGCGACGTTGAAACTGCGCGGGCCACGAACTACGAAATCTAAAGAATGGAAACCCACCATGTTGTTGCTTTCGCTTTCAGTGTTGTCTTCTATCTCCGCGAGCCGTATTCTGTTCAAATTTCTTCGTAAACATCGGCACGAACGACTCGAATGCTCTTCCCGTCCTTGGTGATAGAACCATAATATCCGTACACCATCGTTCTTTAGGTGATACTGCGGAGGGCCAGCCGTTAATACGATGCGTCGTCACGTATTGAAAAGAATAAGTGACTCACGCTCTGAAACCTTACGGGCTGAATAGTACTGATGAATGATCCATGCTGCGAGGGCTTCGGGACTAATGATTACAATCATGAATCCAACTCTACACGATGCCAAATGTATGGACCTTCGACTCGATTGTCGTCGACCTGGAACATGAGTACACATGTGCACGCAAAAATAGTGGCGAAAATGATATACATCAAAGTTCTCCGGTTCGTCCGAACAAGGTGGAAGCATAGAACTGTCGTCTACTGGCAAAATGTACTGTCGAAACGCGTTTTGAGAGGAGACACAGGCGGCTTTGTGTTCCGAAGTGAATGATTTGGACGGACGTTAGAGACGAGAACTCACAAAGGGGCGATCAATACAATGAGAATATAATTCTACTCCAAAGTCTGGGGTGAGTCGAATCAGTGGAGAGGCAGTGCTGCAGAAGCGTGGAAGAGGCGATGAGAACCTAATTCAATGAATACAGTTTGCCAAGGTAAGATGGTGGGATCACTGCTGACAGAGCCATGGTAATTGTCATGGAGAATGGCTCGTGCAGCTTATGCTTTCTCCGCGTAAGCCAACAAATGACCGATGTCGTGATCTTTGAAATCGAAGTTGGCGGAGTGGAATAAAGCGGTGGTCAAGGTGTTTCGGGGTCGGCCGCTTGTGGCGCTAAGGGTCATCATTGAGTCGAGTGATAAGATAAGATACTCAGGTCTTCTCGGGATTAATCCCCCACTTGTTTGCCGATAGTCACATCTCCGTGCGATCATATATGACCTGAAAGTGAAAACAGGTGAGACTAATCAACGACGTGTGACAAAGAATAATAGTTGAAGGGCGACTGACACTGCATCCATGTGCTATCCTGTCAGGTAGTCTTCATGAACTTGAAAGCGGTCGTTCAATGTAACCATTTTGAGTGACACTCGTCATTAATGTTTGAAGTCGCCCATGAAAGGTAGTCTGGCGTCGGTTATCGGGTATATTTCACTGGATATAAGTTACTGTGTTGGGTCTTCCGTTTCGTAGGCGATGTTCGGACATGATGGACGCTAGTCGTGAGTGATTATGACGCTTTCATTCGGTAACCAAATTACTGTGGCGTCAACCGGGTACTAAGTGAGAGTTCCTTGGGGCGTTGGAATCTGTTATTCGCATGTGAGTGAAGCCATACTCAGAGTGTGTGGGAGAACGGATACCATAAAGGATATGCCTAGTGTAATGTGCACGTCCTCCGGTCAGACGCTGCTGGAAAGATGCCCACAGGCCTATCTGTGTAAAATGAGTGAGTATATATACCACGACCATCGGTCCCATCAACATACCGGTTATCTGCTAAGAATGAACTTTGAATTTCATATACCAATAATACCCTGGATCAAATACATGAATAGCTCGAGTCGAATGTCAGTTATGAATAACATCGCACCGACGAAGTCAGACCCTGATTTACCCACCACAGAAATAGGTGTCCTAAGGCCCGTTGGTTAAGAATAACAGTCCGCGCTCCCCTGATCGACATTTCATGAAATTAGACTCGCAATGATAAATAAATTTATCCACGACATACCTAAAGTTAGCTAAGACGCCGGAATGAGCATTTCGCAGAGTCGACATAAGAGGATGATAAGGAAAGGTCGGTTCGGCAGACGATTCCCTTATAGGTGCATTTGAAGCGGTCAGATACACGGTGAGCTATCATCACACGAATCAGTTTCCTGAACTAGATTTAAAAGGAAAGCTGTATAGATCCCTTCTGGACCATGGGCATGATTTTGATTGTACGAGTTACTCACAGCACACGAAGCCCCTTTAAGCAATGCACCCACCTGCTCGATAGCAGTTCAAGATCAAAGGAGCCAGAACTCCCATAGTCGGGCGGAACCAGGAAACCGTAAGCATCTCAAATTCAAGCGCAAGCCTTGTTCAAGGCGAGAAAGTATCAAAAGAAGAAAAGATTCAGTTCGGGTTGTATAGTCAAAGACTTCCCAGAATACGAACCTGCTCTGTGACATTTCCGGTTTTTCAAACTCAACCAAGCCTCCGCCCATTCAACCTAGTCCCTTAGCTCGACGATAACGGCACCCAGGGTACGATGAGGCTGTGGTGTCATCAGTTCAGGGATGTGTGAAAGAGCCAGGATGTGGGGATCGCGTGAGATCGCAGTGTTCCGCAGCCAATTGAGTTGAAAACCGATGGGATCTTCCGACAGAGCGTGTTGAGTATCGCTTTGCAATTGACGGGACAGCCGGAATTTAACCAGGAACAGCACTAGACCAAAGTATCGTCAGAGAACCTTATCTAGAATAGAGATAACACGCGGAGTCTGGTATTCACTGTTAAAAGTCCCCACCCTCGCACCGATCAAGAACCATCGTCTCGGAGGTGTCAAACAGAGTACTCGTCGCAGCTTCATCTTGCTATTCAGTTGATAGAATGGGGTCGATTTCAATAACCACCGAGATGCACGTAAGATGTGCGTTACGCCATTGGGGCTCAGCTTGACCGTGTCTGTAGAACAGGAAGAGGATGGAAACTGAATTACTAAGTCCTGCGAGTCTTCGCCTACATATAGCCTCTTCGCATGATTGCTACCGACCAATGACACCAGCATAGAAGGTACCGATGGACTCGAAACTCCGTCGTCCCACAAGTGATTTGAGTGGGATGATACTGTAGGTGAAAAATTAAGGAGAGCTAACGATGCTCGCGCCTTACCGTATGTTCGCGTCTTAAAACAACTACTTCGACCAAATAACAGAAACCATAGTCTTAGTAAAGTTTTAGGTCGCGTGCATTCGTGAAGTCCCCAGGGAAAGCACATCTTGTCCGTAAAAATATAGGCCAAAATTGATAGCTAGAGCCCAAACTGTGCTGAGGCTGAAAAGACCGGTTGAAAAGAAGGTGGACTTGTCTGAGCAGATTGCAACTGAACCTTGCGGAAGCAGCTCCTCTGACGCCATGAGCATGGACGGTATTTTAAGGATTGAGAGTATTCGCACAGAGGAAGTCCAGCATTGTTCCTTGCACCACTGTAGAGATAAAGGTGACTGCGCTAGGTTCGTCGAGGTGAAGGGCGACTCGTTTCAAGACGTCCCAGACCGGGGTATCTCGGATCAAAGTTAGGTCACATGCTCATGATTTTCAAATTTGACATCGTGACGACGACACACATTGTTTCTCAGCAGCCACCACCGGGAGTATACTCTCGTCGATCCGCTTAAAGACGCACAATCACGACGTATCAAGAATCCCCCTCCAAAGAGTCACTGTAGTATCGGTGGTGAGCTTAATTTTTCATCTATACTATCGCCTCTTTCCACTCCTTAGCTTAATACAGTAGCTCACAGACTTTTTCGACGAGTCTAACGTCGCCTGACATATCTGTTACATGACTATGTAAACGACGAAAACGGAGCGGCTGGAGGTTCACTTATCAACCATTGAAGACATGTCTTTGTACGTGGATCTTCGGCTGTTTGTAGTTCTCCTAATCCCCCTAGACGGTACGTCATCTGCCTATAAATCTTTCGCAGAATATGATGCTGGTGTAGAAGTTCTTCCCGATACAATATAATCCCCAGAAATGGATGGCGATCTACTATCGTGCGTTTATGATCCGACTTACATAGACTATGGACTCTGACATCTGTTGCTAGGATTGTGAGGATGATCTCAGGACCTACATTTGGAACTTCTCAACCATTCCGCTTGGACATCTGATCAGCTACGAATTATCGCGCGACGATTCGGCTCTCAGCTGCTTCGGTGCATCCAGCCGACAATTACCTTAGCCTCTGCAAATATCTCTAAGGACGGCGGAGGACCATCTGTTGTCTTACGGCGTGGAACCTATTCTGGATGCCTTTTAAATCGGCCTCTCGTAATTTCACTGCGATTTACCTCTCTTTGACTTTGAGCCCTACACGAAGAACGGGATCCGTACTCGTCGTGGCTTAATCGATAGGTTGTCTGTGCCACGGATGTTACGGTATGCCTGCGTATAATCTCGACTAAGCGAGTTCTGGTTATGTGAATCATTTATCCAGGCGAGGGAGCAAAAGCCCAAGGTTCGAGCCTTCCACATTGACATGGAATCGACTGATCACGTTTGCGGGGCCAGATGGCTAGGCCTAGTGTCACAACCGAGATGGTTCCACATAAGTTAGCAAGCAAGTGAGTTATTCAGGTGAGAATACCATCTCCCTGGCATGCTATTCGATGTACAGATCCATCTCAAGGACAGCGTCTAGAGCTTGGAGATCAGCTTCCCCTACCGAATGGGGCTCGACACGTTAACGGTCATGAAGACGTTTCGCCCGAAGAGTAGCTTTGACAATGCTATGACGTCTAACTCTTTTGTGGCGTATCATATCGTCCTTCAATTCTTATTTACATCGGCTCAATAAATCAATTATCGATTTTGCGCGTTCCGCTCTGATCATCAGCTACTTCACGGCATGCTTGCAACCGTTGATGACCGGAGCTACCTGAAATGCCTCAGAGTCACACGGAGAGGAGCGTTTGCGTGGCGCATCAAACCATACGTTATTTATACGATTATAGTGCTGGCTTGTTAATGCGAGGCGAAGTCAGAGTTGGTGAGCTCCCCTACATCGAACCATTCATACTCGTCCTAATGTGAAATCCAGCCGGAAGATGAAACGACGTGTGCAGCTTAGAGTTGTAAAGCATACGGCTTGAGGTCTTCTGTTGGTGGCGTACTGATACCATCTTCAGGTGATTTCAAATGACGAATATGTATTCAATGTGATAACGAATTTTTACAATACGCCGGCAAATGAGAGTTACAACGACAATGGCTGGGTGATATACATTAGTTGAGGAGAGAAAGACAACAAAGCATGGCCGCAGCTCTATATCAGCCGACGGTTTAACTCGAATGAAGCGTACGGGTAGGAAGTCGAGAAATGCCGGTACGTGAGAAATACCACAACGAAAAATGACTAGGAAGCTGTGTATCGCTACCAAGATGAGAACCTGCATCGATAACAGACCAACACATCCCTCCTGGTCCGCCAGGTCAATACCCGGCATTATGCAAATCTGTCTATCGATTAACCGTCAGAGAGAGTACCGACGAGAAACGAATCAAACTTTGAAGTATCCTCTCTACACTCTCGAGCGAAAGCATGGAGATTCTTTCAGCCGACCAAATTAATCAATGACTCCGTATTGTCCGAATCTCCTGAGAATAGCACACGTATCGTTCTGTCGACTCGTAAATTCAGGAAGTAGAGGAAACATTGCAAGCTCGTTGACTCAATCGCTCGAAAAACCGAACGCAAGTACGGTCGTAAATGGATAGACAACTAAATGACCACTTCTCAGTAGCAGACTAGGCCTGGGACAAAATAACCTCCTGCTGCGCTGTCATGCGTGGGTGTCGGTGGTGCACCTGAGAAAGAATATTGACTGATAGAACCATACATGGTCGGTGTCTGTAGAAGACTCCGGAGTTCCGGATAGGCGAAACGAGCGAAAGTGAATTCTTCCTCGAATCGGAATACTTCCGGATAAACATTTAACAGGCGTCACCGTGCTGTTAGCCTCCGGCACAATTTTCCATTCTTTCATTTCTTTCAATCTAGAAGATCAATTCCTGACAATGCAGATGGAATTCGACTTGAATCCAGAATTTCCGATAGTAGGCGAGGAGGCGAGATTCTAAACGGTCATCAATTAACAATCAAGCTTCCTGGTTTTTAATTCGATTATTCACACCCCATTCTTTTTAATTGGTAGTTTGGTAGCGGTTTCAGTAAATAACATAGGAGGTACAAGAAGCGAAACCATATACGGCGTATTAAAATACTGTATACACCGAGGAGTAAAGAAGACACAAATCTAATTCTAGAGTGCGAGTGGCTGTTCGATATGTCACCTACCGTATAGAATTAACTACTTGAAATTTACAAAGGGACCGCCTGCTTCAGGCAGACCGTCTGTGAATAGTCGATATATTACGGGATGGCCAGTTGTCCATATAAATGAAATTCCAAAGATATTATTTAAATTGTCGTTTACCCGACCAATACAGGACGAGTATCTACGTCTACAGCACGTGTTCAGCGCACGGAAAGACAATATTCTTTCAGTCAACAATAAAAAATACCACAGAGCATCCGCACTATAACATTCCATACACATCGACAGCCAAAAGATAACCTGCAGGATCGTAAGATGACCGCCATCTACGCTGATTGTAAGATTGCAAAAGGATGGTATGGATTCTCCGCAATTATATTCCATTCCCCACGATGTGTACGTTTGTCGCTGAAATGTTTGAACCGGATACCTCACCAAAAAACCGAGAGGCATTATCGTAGAGCTGCGACTGTGGCAGAGACGCTGTTAGCAAAGCAGTGAGGAAATGACATCTGTTAATTTGGTGTCGGTCCGGGATTGTGCTTCAGCTAGACCATGAAACGGGATCGATGAGAAGCACGTACCGTGGCAATTATCCAGTGGAATGCAGGAAGAGATTTTCCGGGCGGATAGGTCTCTCCGCTTAAAAGACAGTTGACACGCGTAGTATCGGAGCTAAGGCATCGAAGGGCATGCACTGAAAGGGTGCTTTAACGCCTTCTTTCGATACTGGTGGACTAAGGTAGCACATTCGACCTTCATGCACGTTAGTAAAGGTAGATGCGTATCCTATGACCGTGATAGATCGCCAAACAAACTTTACGATGATGAAGGGTGTAAAAGCATGACCATCCCTTTAGTAGAAATGAAACACAAAAAGAAGGAGACGACGATAACCGCAGTAGCTGGATGAGAATTACTCATCAGGTCTCCATTCAGCACGAGCGTTCCCAGATCATGAGTGGCATGGGATGCACCTCATCAACAGAGCTTCCTTCGCGTTTCGATTTCAATTGTGGGGCGCCAGAACCTCATCAACGAGGAGCGGCGGTAACCCACAACAATGTTACATGATGGGACAAGCATGCCGTGTTGAACCTGGTGAGTGCTGAATATTAATACCCACTCTCTCTCCGATCAAGAAAAGATGGTCCTGGGAAATCGATAAAGACCCTTGTCAAATTTGCACAGCCGTAGCCAAGGTACTGGTGATACTGGCCCATTTCAATACTTGTCTGCGCTGTGACTGCATGGCTTATCATTCGCTTGGCGTCTATTGAATATAAGGACACTTCTCACCGGCCTAAGGGTCCGTAGGAGCGATGAAAAAGAGGCATAGCACGTAGAGAAACTTGCATATGCCGCTCGTATGGAGATAGCGACAAAGTATCTGCATGGGGGTTTCAGAGAACATCATGTAGAAAGAATAACACCGATGATTGTTCATGATCCCAGACGACGACCGGCATGCCGTATAACAGTTCCAGATATCGTTGCTGACTGGGCGGCTTCTACAACACGACCCCGCTGCATGTGCCTGATATTATATTCCATGATAATAAGTAGAGGAAGAGCGGCCGCTTACGATTATGACTAGGACTCGAGAAATGAATGGAAAGAGGCTTATGGAGGATATGGACAACATCCTGATCTTTCTAAATGACCACGGGACAAGCTCGATAGAAAAACGTGGCGGTTCAGGTAAGAACATTCAACCGAAAGCCCACAAGCCCACATTGAGAGTAACCATGGTGCTGCTACATCAATGCGATTGTTGGGCTATGAATGCCTTAGCATCATCATATTGGAGTGATGGTGAAAACACACATATGCAGGAATACAACTGACGTCATCACCGTTACATAAGGTATCTCATTCTGAGCATCTGACCCGTGTAGATGTCGCCCATTTCAGCCAGTACTAGATGCCGAGAAGTACTAAGAATATGTTTTGATCCGGATTTCGTCGCTTGGTCTCTCTGGGGCTGGTACATGTGCGGACTCTGGCATGTCTTTGGCTACATAGACGATCGGCCAGTGAAGACAAAGAAAGCGCGAAAGTATCGGTCGCCATGTCTCTAAATAGCCTAGTATGATAAATTCCACTGATGCCAGGAAAATGATAGATCTTCCCTTCCGCGTCGAAAAAATCACAGTGATAAAAGGTACTGACCTGAAACTAGCATGTTGAAGCGCCCGAGTGCTCTCATCCCGCTGAGAGCTGAGGTGGTCGTCGAAAATCAACCGGGGTTCCGGCCCGATATAGCTCGCCACATCACACTGACCGACCAAGACTTCTTTCTTCTCCGATTTCGACCAACACGAATTCTGGCACTCTTTGCTCTCTGACTTCACGAAACTCTCCAATCAATATGGCATTGATTGTTTGACTCGTTTTCGGAAGGGATACCAGAATTCCCGGACGCTCTTTCTGGCAACTGATTTTTCAGACTTTTGTGAATTGTACGATTTCTATTATGTCATGAAGCCGCCATTGTATTATTGGTCAATATCGATAACAGTCAGTCTACTATATTCCGCCTTATATGTCAGTAACCTTGGCCATGTTCTTACTCAATCATCGCTCGTTTACTTTCAACCTCTGGGTCACTCTATCCTGCAACTCCCGATACTACATGTCGTTCCTTCGAAATAAATAGGACCTCATAGAAGTTTTGCGGTCTGCACAGCATCTTCTTTCATCGTTGGCACGTTATTCTTCTGTGTTAATCCTTTTCCAGGTCAATTGAAGACACTTACTAGGCGGTGGATGCATTCAGTCTCTTCCCAGTCTGTACCACACGGCCCATCTCTTCAGATTGTGATTTAGCTAACTTATTGAATAGTTACTGTTCACATGCACCAAAGTATACGAATCCTGTCTGAGGGTTGTTTATTCGTTCACATATTACTTTTCGAAGTCATTATAATGTTTGAATATGCTTAGGACCTTATGCTGTGTAGCTGAATGACCTTCCCTATAGCGGAGACAGAGCAGGAATTTTTTCAGCATGCCGAAGGTCGTGTCTCTTCCCATGATATGCCCGTATGCACCCTGAGTCAAAGCGGGATTCTCCGCTGGACCGTGCTTTTCTCCACAAGTCAACAATTCCATGGGCTGTTTATCGAGCGGTAATTGTACTGGTGTTGATAGCCGCGTGCAAATGTTGAAGGTTAAAGAATCCGAGCATCATACAACTCCCATTATAGTGTATCGATGATCGCAGGTATCGTGATTCGCTTGTACAATGTGGCGGGCATCTGATTAATTGGCTACAGTCATACCATACGACGTCCTAACTGCTAAGTACTAGAACTTCCTCTGGTGTTCTCCATCCCTATAATAGGAAGTCTAAACCTGTATTCGCGGTGTTAGTTTTCCCCTCGTCCCTGAGGCTAAATCCGTCCGCACAGATCAACTGATATCATATCCTGGAACCAGTTATATGATAGGTTCGCGTTCTGAGCTCGCCAGCGGAATCCATTCAATAGATTTCCGGAGTGGGTTTTATTACCTCCGCGCGTAGGCTTTACTTCTGTGGTGTGTGAAGCCATCCGCAATGCTATTTTAGCGCCGGATATTATTATATGCATGCGGTCGATTTTCCTCCTGTTGTTTTCCGTTCATCACGTCCTGGTCTTCTCACGGCAGGCATGTTGCTGGCGTGGTTCTCTGCGAGCAAAGGAGGTATTCACCGTTGCTATGGATCGAGTTGATGATTTTGTTTGTCGGAGATTTAACTGCACCTCCGAGTCAGAGACACATAGATTAAGCCTGGGAAACCACGTCCAATTGGTTTGCCCAGCAAAGAGGACACCGGATGGGTAGATGTCGAATCGTATACGTAAAATGAGGGTGCAACTTGTCGGATGGAATACCGCTGAAAACAGAATTATTCAGGTCGCCTTGAATCATAAGCTTTGAGACGTCTAAGAATACTACCAATGGTATGAAAGGAGAAAACACCACGACCCTAGTTTACGCCCCAGCGGAACGATGCCCGCCCCGATAACAAAGATGTAGGTCTAATAAAAACTGGGGTGACTGTCTGTAATTCGGTCCTACGTATCGGAGTCTTCAGAAGTCGATGGATTTGGGAACTCCAGCACAGAGCACAGGTAGACGATACATCTTTGGATTGGTAATGATCAAAAATGGTAGGACGATAATGTCTAAGTCGACTGGGATAGTTGAGAGCGAATTTATTCCTTCACCTCACGTTGTATCTGGATCCACTTACACTGAAGAAGAGGCAGGTCTCGATAAATTTAGCGATGTCACCAATTCAGGAAGGCCGACAGAATTACTACATCATAAACTCTCAGACTGAAATAACGCTGCAAGAGAGGATTCACGCAGGTGCGGACAAAATTCAACGCTATGACATGATGGATTCCGTAGGGATGCCACGAATCTTCATGGTTCAGTCCGATCTCATTAGCCGTCTTTAGGATCACTGAGTCTTCACCCTCTTTCCCATAACAAGCTACTGGCTTATAATACACGGTTACTTCTGCTGCCGTCCAGGGTACATCGTTCCTCCCCTCCCGAGCACGACTGAGAAGGATACGGAGGCCCTCTCGAAATCGTGCCATACAGACCGGATCGCTGATCCGATAGTCAGTACCATCATCTTCTTTTCACCGAAAGATGTCCGGCGACGCCAGTGGCAGGGCGGGTCGGGATCGATTTCATTTTTGATGGACGCCGACTCACATGTTCATTGTTCATAAACCAATGGATTCATACATAACTTGTTTTGATAACTGACAGTAACTCTCCTTTAGAAATAGAAGGTAACGGGTGCGCATTTGAGGACTTGGAGTGGGTACGTCCTCTGGAAATATAGCTCTTGCTCTCAGGTTAAATGTGCTATTTCATGGAAATATCCACAACAGATTTTCACCTTTATGCTTACTAAATGGCCTGCATGGACGTCGCTTTAAACTATTTGACTTGATATCCAGAGCCTAGAAATCTCAAAGAAATCTAAGTATATTTATCCAACTTCTCACGCAAAGACCGCTAGAAATTTGGGACTACAGAGCTTGATCTCTTTCATCCCCGTATGTAAGATCTGTCGAACGCTACCGAATTGAATAAAAATTTATTGTTTCTTGCCGCATACAACAAATTTCGTCAAGGGCCAAAGCTTACGGATAGTTTATATGGGAATCATTTACAGGCGCGACGCCAAATCATGCATCGGAAGATGCCGTTTCAGTTTGCGTTGTGCAGCTGATCCCAGATCTGGTGCAATCTGGTGGGAGGATTTTTGGTTCCTTTGACTATTGACTCTTGATGGGTAAGCCTTACTGGAACAACTCTTTCTCTATTCATCCTTGCAACTTTGGGTATCCGTGGCGAGCCACTGGCTACTTATACGGACAGTGTTCTCGCCTTCCGGTGAGTAAGTATGCCAAGGCATTGACTCTGCACTCATCAAAGCATCATTTTACCGGTTCGCCATTTAACCGCTTCTCTCACGAAATAACAAACCAATGAGGAACTCCGAATAGCTTTCTAACAATTTGATATCAGAGTATGTCAATATAACTATTTACAGTCTCAACTTTTTATGCTATACAATGTCAGAAATCTCGACTCGAAAGTCTCCGGCTAAAACAGCAACTTCGTATAATCCACTAACACCCACCCGTAAAGGTGAGACTAATTCATGTCAGCGGTGTATTCTTTCGGCATCCGTTCAATTGAGCTTTCATTATATTCGGCAGGCGCTCGTCAGACAACGTGATCAGATCATTCAAAGTCAACATGCGCATTGCGCCACTGAGTTACTGAGCATTTCCTCGTTTCTACGTGTAATCGTGGGTGAATGGTGCCACTTTCTCTTCCGCCATCACAAACAGGCAGTCAATTTTATGACGATGATCTGCTTAGCAGAAGGCAGCTTTGATGCATCCGGCCGGACTAAGAATTGTGGATATACTTGGTGCGGAGTTTGAACATCACGGCTTTTGCTTTATCGACACTATTCAATGATACACACACCTCATTCAACTACTCTGGTCGTCAACGTAGGAGTCTCAAGAAAAGACAACCCAGGGGTAAATCAATACAGGACGTCCCTGAGGTCTCCGAACATCAATAAGTGCTCGGGATCTAACTTCTAAAATAGATAGAAGTTTTCAGATCACGTATCATCAACGCTGGATCCCTCGGTCCCGTATCGTTCTCGCATAGAATTTGTAGGGTGATCAAAATGTTGCCGGACTCTGGGTCACTCGAAAATGACCCTATCGACAAAGATTCTCCCAATGACGCTCTGTACATCTCATTCTGTAAAGCAACAAGGTCCAATTCGATGAGATTTCGTTCTATAAATGAAGAAAAACGACGAATTTATTTGAACCGACAACAATGGCCAGAATGGAACCAGCTTACATAGCGCGGGTCGACATACGATATGAAACAGGAACGTAAACAAGGTCTGACAGATAAAATCAGTGCACGCGAACGAGATTGAACCAAACATCGACCGAAATACTGACAAGCATGACGCGCCCCGGTCCTGGATTTCCATGTCCTCCCTATGCGCCACAGAAACTCACAGACGGGAATCTCGTATAAAAATCTTTAATAGGAGTACAGAGAGGAAAATGCGGAGAGGTTAAGTTGCTATTTGGGCGTAGTATCCATATCTCGAAGGTTGTTGATCATGATGGGCGAAAATAACACTCTGCATGCAGGATCGTTGTCAGGGTATGTCATGGGCTTGAATCTAAGGTTGAAACGTGATAGGATGAAATGGCTAGGGCTTGTGGTTCGAGCGTTCTCTTAGAATGAAGCACTGTGAAATCCATACGGTGACT